CACAGTGGGCAGGTGGCCCACTTGTTTGGTTTTTGACACAGCCCTTGCGGCTCACAATGCGGACTAGGATCATGTTCGCCGTTGGAGCTTGAGTTCTGCAGCAGGATGGACAGGAAGAAAACAGCTGCCTCGGCAATGCAGGAGGCTTCGACATCCGCCTGTTACGATTGCCACAGTTAATGTTCTGCCGTTTCCACCATGCTCCAAGCAAGGTTGCGTACTCGGGCTCAAATAACACTTGACTTCAAAATTAACTAATGCACAACTGTCCAGCAACTGCAGTTCGGGCATACTTGCTTGGTAAAGAGCCTTTTGGCATCTGCTTCCCAAGTGCCCAACTCACTGTCGCTGTAATTAGCAGCCCAGGCAACGAACAAATAAACCCACACTGCGATGCACAGCTCCCAGCATTCTTTGTTAAACAAAAAAACATAGGAAAGAACGAAGAAACAAACACGTGCGTACCCCCCCCCCCCCCCAAAAAAAAAAAAAAAAAACAGAAAAAAAAACAGAAGAAAAAAAAGTTAACCGGGGGAATATAAAACCAAGCCAAGTAAAGAATGTGGCGCTGGAAAATGTCTTCCTGTGGCATCACACAATTTGCAACTCCGCTTTCCACTGGGCGCCGCACGGACAGGGCCAGCGCCTTTGGGTCACCGCCGATGTACATGAAGAATACCATGAGGTCCAAGGGCCTTGGCTTTCAAATCGAGAGGCCATGAGGGATCCCCAACCAGCAAAACTATAACCCCGCAAAAGAACGCCAAGGGCCGAAAAGCCCGGTGCGGCTTCTTTCCCTGAACGCTACGTTTGGTAAAGCCGTTAGACAATTCGACATGCATCGGTAAGCTCCAAGAAGCGGGTCTGTACGGGCTAAATGTCCAAGGCCTCCTCCAATCCGCGAATTCAATTCCTTGGCAGGCATCACGATTTCAAAACGATTCTCGTTGCCCTTAACCCTTTACAACCACATGCGACGTTGTAGCAGGTGCGGAAACACGGCTCGTAAGAATTCAGGACAGGGCTGTGGCATGATGGTTCTTTGCAGACAGAAGCACGCATGAAATAACCCCAAAGCAAGGCACACACCCCGAAAAATCTTCAGTTCTCAACGAACAGAAATCCGCCCGGGTATCTTTCATCCGGGGGCGACATTAGGCAGCCTGGCTCAATGGGTGAGATTCTCAGGACCTAAGCGACGTCCAAGGAAACTGCAAGAGAGCCATCAGTAGGAGGGAGCAGGAAAAAAAAAAAACAAGCCCCTGTCCCATTCCCAAAGAGAAATGTCGGCCCTCCTGGAATTGCTCTCAACATCTCGTGCTGCTCCGAGGCGCTGCGGCGCTGCGGCTCGGCCGCTCTAAAAGCGCCACATCGAAGGGCTGGGAGCCCAAAGCGGCGAGGTGTCCAATGGATCCCTCAGACCCTTCGTGCCCTGTGTGTGCCCTTAGTGGTCTTCGGGGGGGCCAAGGAAAGGGGCCACAGCTCCATTTTGCCAGTCTTCCCCCACAGAGAACTCTGGCCGGGATGCCGCTGCCCTCCCCCAATTCCATCTTCAACTGGTGGGGGTTCAAATTGCTCCCTGCAGGCATCGATCCCTGAAACTTGGAAGGTAAGGAATTGGCTTCTCTCACCTAGTTCTTTCCCCAATCAATCTCTCAGGAAATACTTCGGATTGGGAAAAGGTGAGAGAAGAGAGAGATGGGCGCCTCGTCGAACACTAGGAATTACATAGGGACGAGGCATCTGATGGGTGGTGGAGGAACCCATGATCACCCATCCAGCCATCTAAGCCGTCCAAACAGGGTCTTCCAGCGGCTTCTTTAGGAATGTATTTGTATAGCCGCAGTCTATCTCTTCATCACCCATTACTTTCCTATGACTCGCCAACGGACGGGAAATGGCGAGGGAAAGTAAACGGGAAAGAGACATGAGAGACAAAGGGGATGATTCGCTATCCTCCGCCTTCATTTCTAGCTGTCAATGCGCGGAGGGAACCATCATCCTTCTTCATTCTTCATTTGTCTGAAAGTGTCAGGAGAAACCGAGGTTGCCTTCGGCCCCTTTCACAAAAGCTCAGAATTGGAGAAAGTCTCAAATTTAGGGACCACAAAACATGGTTGGCTTCCAATGAAAGCCAAAAGGCTCGCTCAAGCGGAGTGGTCAAACAACAGTCCCGCATTTCTGGGCCTAGAAATCATACGTCCCGGAACTCAGAGGCTATATTTCCACTTAAGTTGGCAGTTGCGGGTTTCCATTGAAAGGATCGCCACTTTTTGAGGTTCCATTGGGAAATGGAGCAAGCCCCAAGCCAGCAAGATGCTGGCTGGGGGCCCCGACTCGGCTCGGAGCAGGGCTCTGCGGAGGTGCCGGTGCCGGTCCTTGGCCAAATGGGAACCATGGGTGGCATGGGGAGCTGTAGGGAAACAAAGGCCAACGGGAAACGTACTGAAGCATGGAGGGTGGGGCGTGAAACCATAGGGGAGGTCACACTGGCCCACCTCTGTTTGGTGAACAAATTAGTGAAACACCCTGTAACCACAATTTGGGAGATCATACCCCCCTTGTAACCCCACCCCAAGCAGAGGTGGCCAAGTAGGACCTCGGATTCTTGAAGGGACCCATTGTGCCATGTTGATGTTGGCAGGGAGGGTGATTATCAAGATTCCATGCGGGAGGATACGCCAGGTCCAAGGGCATTCCAGTTGTCAGACCTACCCTCCCGTCCATAGGTGTCCTTTTTGGAAAATAGGTGGCCCTGGTAGATGATTGAACCACCAGGTAAACCAGGGCCAAACCAACCAAAAAGGATACCTATGCTCCCTTCCACTAACATTGCGTAAAACCCGCAAGGGGTAGCGTTTAGAGGAAAACTGTCGGGCCAACCCCGCAGACGATTCCCGCTGGGCTGCCCTGCGAGCTCTGCACCCCGAGGTCCGCAAAGGCCCAACTGCTCCAGGAAGGCCTTGCCGAGCGCTGCAAGCTCTTCCGCGCTCGATTTGGGGAACCAGCACGATTTCCCTTTTCATTTTTCCCTTTTCCTGGGGAACCAACCCGATTTGGGGTTGGTCTAAGGAGAAACCAAAGGAACGTATCTAGTCTTTTTAGGGGGGAAGGCCCTTAAATTAGCTTCGAGGCCCTTTGGTTTCTCATCTTTAAACCACGCACAAAGAACGAAGCTCAAAATGGCACGCCCACTGCACCACGCTTGGCGGACTAGCCACAGCGAACACTGCTATGTACGGGGAGGATGAGTGCTGTGTTCGCAGAATTGGTCTGGCATAAGTGGTGCAAAACTTGCGTCATTAATGTTACACCTCCTTTATTAATAGTCCCCTCTATTGTGGCGTTCTTTTTTCGCAGTTCAGGATCTTGTGACTGCTTTGGGGTCCTCAATTGCAGCTACAGTACTGTTTCCCCGGAAAATCCAAAACCTGTTTTTGTCGTTTACTCTCCTGATCTTGTCTGGGACTAAGCCTCCGAAGAAATACGGGACAAACAAACTTGGCAAGGAAATCGGGCAAAAAAAAGAGCTAACAAATCCGGGCAAACAGGATTCTTTGAAGTGGTCCCCAAACCATCAAATTTAAGATAGCTTCCTTACAAACAGTCACACAAAGGGGGTTGCCCACAAGGGGCTCTGAGCCTCTTTAGATGTGATTGTCTTGGGGTCCTCTTTAGTGTCCAACGGCTTTTTTGGGTTGCTGAAATTATTAATAGACGAATCCTTAGCCTTTTACTTTTCGGTTGGTGAACCTAACAAAGCTCTTCCCAGCTAAAAGGGTAAGGCAATAGATCTAGGAAGTTTGTTTGCTAGTGGCCCCGTCCTGCGCCTCTTTAAACGTGACTGTTTTGGGTTCCCCCTTTAGTGTCTAACCTGTTTGGGGGGTTGCTGAAAAACAAGGTCCTTGGCAATTGGCAATACTAAAGTAGAATTGGCAATACTAGAGTAAGTACTGTCCCTCCCAGACCCCCAGGATCTCGCTTAAAGAGGGTCCAGCTGATTGGTTCCACTCCTAAGGGGGGGGGTGGTCCAACATTACAGCAGAAATCAATTGTTCCCATAGACTTGTGTAGCTCCCCACTAGCAGCAGACTTGTAAAGGCAGTTGCCCCAATGAAGTAATTACGCAAAGTTGTGCAACGTTGCATGACACATGCAATGTCCAACGCCGTCGTGCATCCATATTATACCGTTCGGTCAAGGTATCCAGTGGATTTCATCGGTATTCGCTAGACTTGACAAGAAGAACAGGGTGACTTAGGAAATTGTCCGTGTCCATTTGCGGCAGCCGCATGCTCACGTCGGTAAATCCCGGCCCACACCCGTCCCAAAGCACGGGGCTCCGTGCGCCCGCGCCTGTCACGCACACTTGAGGATTCTTCTAAAGGACTGGATCGCAATTTCGGACCCCATGCCCTTTGTTTAACAACCCTTACCTGGCCACCAAGCCATGTGGCCCATCCTGCCCCAAATTTCGGGAACATGTCTGAGACCCACAGCGAGGCAGTTGACGTTCTGCGCCCGCATGCTCCAATCAATTGAACATCAGATCATGAGCCTCTGCAATCGCAAAGCCGAAGTCCCACAGTCAAATCGAAGCAGACACAATGTAGGAACACAAGCTTCTAACTTCCGCCAAGTGACAGCCACCATCCCCATATCCCGCCCCAATATGGAGGTGGCTTTCACGGAAAGGGACGTGGGTGGGGGTGGGTGTCCCCAGTTCGATGCATCTTTGCCAACCAAAAGGGGATTATTATAACGAATAGAAGCGCAGGGTCAAACCCCTCCCACTCACAAACGGGAGATGAACAAGAATGGTTGCTGGACGGGTTCTTTTTTTTTGACAAATTGGACCCCTCCAAATGACGGGTGTTCCCGTAGATTTCCTCAAGGATGGAAAAAAAGTTTTCCATCAGCACAGGCCGCCCACCTGTCAAAAGAAAAGAAGGACTGTGCCCTCTGCTGCGCTTCGCGCTTCTTGTTTTCCTGGTGGTCCGTCACAGCGCTAGCACGGCAGCGAGGAGTCCAACCCAGATCGATCCGTGCCAGGCAGAGCTCTTCAGCTGCATGGTCGACGTCACCAATGGGTCCTCAGCTGCTTGCCGTGCTACGCGCTCTGAAGCCACGTGCCTGCCCGTCGCATGTTGAGCAGGCCCCATTGAAGGCACACCCGGAATTGGAAGATAGCGTGGCACAGTGCAGGTTTCTATCCGACACACCGGTTCTTACTTTGTCACAGGTTCGCTGGAGTCGCAAACAACCTGATCTTGAAGTGGCCTACCCAAAATGCCTCTCAAGCATCCACCGGAGCGGACATCCGCACCTTTTTTATGGTTGGGGCTGTCACTTGCCAACCTTGCATTTACCCTCCAACGAATGTGGAAGTTGGAAGTGCAGAGGTCCCCTTAGGCTGACTTCCTTGTGGCAGCTTCTGCGCCACATACTTCCGTTTGGCTTGAACCGCGACCGAGGCACAGTGGGCTGCACCAAAGCCAGGCCGAAAGCGCCGTGCAGCTGAAGCACCTGCACGCATTGCTCAGTGGCTAGCCAGGTACTCCGATTCTGCACCACCGGGTGAGCGATAGCAAGTAACCCACCGAAAAATCAGGGAGCCCATAAAGGGGACCTGCCTCGCAGGTCTCAAGTGAGGTCACGAATCCCCTTGTCTGGGGCTGCTAGAAGATGTGCAGTTGCACGGGCTGATGGTGTTGGCTTGCTCCGTCTTGCGTCCTATCCTCAACCCAATGCCCCACATGGTCAGTACATCGTTGGCGCCCCCGAAATGTATGTATGTCACACAACTTGGCAAGGCCTGCCGAAGAGTGAAGCCTGCTGTTTGGACACACCCCAAGTTTGCGGAATTCCTGTGCAAAGTCGTGACACGACCGCATTACCTCCACTGGCACCACAGCATGTGAAACCCACTTGAGCCACGGACAACATATGCGGCCCCCGCAACAAGATTGGCTCTAGTCCTCCTGCTTTTTGTGGCTCTGAACCACGCCTCGCGTGCCCAGGACGAATCGCTTTGTTGAATCCCGACTCTGTGCGGACGTCAAGCTTGCCTGCTGAATTGGCTGGTTCTCCGCAAGGATGCTGCACGGCATCGCGTAAACCGCGCTGGCGCCCTGGAAAAGGTTGCCACAGACAACCAGGCTGGAACAAAGCCATGGTCAACATGGTGTCCTCAAACTTTGGTGAGTAACCCTCGTCTTGTTGCAATACAGCGAGCAAACACTTCTGGAGTCAACCTTTCGCAACGTAGCGCCGGCTTGTGAGAGAAAGAACAATTCAGAGAACCTGCAGATTCAACTGATCTTCCAACTCTGCCTGCCTCGTCGGCCACAAAGATGCTGCCAGAGCCGTCCCAAACCAACCCCCGGGAGATGATGAAGTTTCCGTTCAGCGGCGTGGCTGCACCGCCCCCGAACTTGGACACCCCATAGACCTGCGACGCGCACGTCGCGAACAGGTCTAACAAGTGAAAAGCCCCATGGTGGTCGCTGACGTGACCACCGATCTTGTGCAGCCAAGGCGCCGCTCCGCCATCGCTGAAGATCACAGCATTGCGAGTAACAGCCTTGGCATTGCATGTCCACATCTTCAAGAGGACTTCTTAAGGCCTTCAAGCAACATCTTAGCCATCTTAGCCGTCTGGTGGCCAAATAAAAGGTCGCCATTGGGCCATGCAGGTTTTCAACGCTGACAGGCCCACGTTGGTGATGCCCAAGCAAGAGGACAGATTCCTTCATGGGGCATGATGTTTGCGATAACCCAATGTTGGAAGCCCAAATGTTTTAATCCAGACACGGAGTTTGTAAATCATACATTTGCATACCTATGTCGATGTAGCAAGTACATCTCAAATCGAGGACCCCATTCTGGGGTGGTTTGAAAGCTGAATCAAAAATCACACCATGTGAGTCAATGTCTAAGTTGTTGTTGTTCTCGTTCAAAGCCCCGAACAGGGTAATTAGTATCGAAAAGACAACCGTTTGTGGGTATCACGCCATTTCTCCCCCCAGAATTCCCCAAGCCCCAAGCTACACAGCAGAACAGAAGTAAAGGCGGTGAAGTGTACGGCTTTGCTGCCAAGCAGCGAGGCCAAAGGAGTGCTCTGTCTGATTGGTCAGCTTGCCTGACCAGACCGCAATCAATTGGATGTAAAACAGTATTTAAAACCAGCACGGGTAATTAATTGTGTGTGCAATTGTAAGCAAAACATAAGCAGTCTAACGATACAATTTCAGCGACAAAAACATGATTCCGACATCTAACATCTAACATCATCGGGCATAGTGATATCAAAGAGCACCATCTGCGCTGCTTCTAGCTGAATCGCACATGCGGCTGCAACTCACAAGCGGGCTCGTCCCCACAAGACCCACTGATCTCCAAACTAGCGCCGCGGATCGCACACATGGGTATGAGCTTTAATTGGGGGACCTTTGAGGGGACTTGTGTTGACCAAACTGCTTTTTAGGGTGTTCCGAGGTTGCCCATTAAAATGTCATTGCCACATCATCGGCCTGATGCCCCCAAGGTGCCAAACACTGGCCTCCCTGCGACCAAATCCACGCCAGGCCGCCAGTCTTTGGGCCTTCCGCACTGAGGCTCGGAGCTGCGAAGCCCGTTCCAATGGAGCCCTTCTCAAAGCCATGGTCCTGGTTCGCCCAGTAGACCTGCCGAACCAACGTGCCCGAGCCAAAAGCAAACCAAAGCAACAAATCGGTGCAAAGCGTGTTGAGCAATGCCTGCGGTAGAAGTCCACAATCTGGATCCTACCCCTTATTGTCAACTGGCACACCCGTTTGCCTCAGAAACGCTCTCAAAATCATGAAGCCCAATCCCAATGCAAGCCTTACTTGCCATCTTGGACACCCTCAGAGCTCTTTCAGAGTCAGCGAAGGACAAGAGACCGCCCTAATCCGCCCTACGCAAGGGCAACGGAGGCCACCGGTCCAGCCAACTTGGTATTTGCACCCGCCAATTTGCACATGGGGATGTTAAAACTGGAGACACCTCCAAAATTGTTCCGCGGTCCTTTTAGTTCATGCCAGGTGGTCCGGCGGTCCCCACTTTGGACACCGTCATCATTTAGAAACTGGGTCATCATTTAGAAAGTTGGCTGGCTGGTTCTGGGAAACCTCCAAGTTCCTCCGTTGTTGGCTGGCCTGCGGTAAAATTGCCCTCCCCTTCCATGTGCTCCTCCCTGAAACTAAGCTCATGTGGCTGTGATATCATCTGCAGCCAGGCCTGCACAGTGTCAGATGCTATGCCGCCGGGCGTTGCCACATGAGGACTGTCCGCAGCCTGTGGCAGGGCTGTTTCAGTCGATTGAATACATTGGCAGGTCTTGAGGATGCCCTTCTTAGGGTTTCAAGGGTAGCCCAAAGGACACCAATTCAGAGACACTTTGTTTTTCTGTTGGGGGGGGTGGCCTCTATATTCAAAGGCAAAAGAAACCTAGCCTGCGATGAAACCCATCATGCACGACTTACACTCCGGCTTCAAAGTGGCAAACAAGACCTCTGGCCTGGACAGCAATAAACGACCCCACAACTCACATCATCCCTGGTGGCTTCCTTGAAAGGAAACCCAAAGCTATGTGGATGGTTTTCATCAATAGTCCCACATAGGTACAAGTATTTGTCCTGTGTCCAAATAGGGGGACACCCCAAAAATGTAAGTGTCCTGTTGGTTGCCCTTTAAACCAAGCTCAAAAACTTGCGGCTGAGGTGTTTTTTTTGTGTTTTTGGCATAGCCCTGGCATTAGCCTAACCCTGGCACAGCCTGGAGACACTAACGGACAAAGGTTTGGGGTAGGTTTAGAGTAGGCTTGGGGTAGTCCGTTCAAAGCTGGTTCAGGCCCGGCATCGTTTTGACATCCTCAGCATCGTTTTCAACATTCTCAGCATCACCAGGTTTTGATTTAGGCTTGGTTTTAGGGTGGGTTGGCTCAGAGTTGGCTCCGGGTGGGCTCCAAACCTATTGAGAACAAATTTGGGGGTGGCTGTGCTTGCGGCAGATTGTTCAGTGCTGGTTTATGGTGGGGCTTCTTGGGGCTGGTCTCGGGTGCGTTTAGGGCCGGTTTCGCGTGTGTTTAAAATTGGCTTCGGCCACGGTTGTGTTTTAACCCATCCCAAACCTTTGTCCCACCGAGCCGTCAACCAACCAACCAACCAACCAACCAACCAACCAACCAACCAACCAACCAACCAACAAACCAAACAACCAACCAGCCAGCCAGCCAGCCAGCCAACCCACCAACCAACCAACCAACCAACCAACCAACAACCTGCCACTAGCCCTGTGCCAGGGCTAGGCAAAAAAATACCCTTTCCAAAGGGTGCCCTCAAACAAAACAACCCACCACCAAAACACCAGTCACGCCTGGAACAGCTCTAAGATGGAGTCATCTGACACAGTCGGCAGCACTGCCGAAATGGCAGTTGCCTCAGCGCTCGGATGTTGAAAGAGGACAATGCTTAGGGGGTCCCACCATTTCCGGCACCCAAAAGCAAATTGCTTCGATAGCGGGAATGGTTTGCATGCCAAGGCAAACTTGTTGGAATGCGTGCTTGGCCACATGTATGCTTGCCTTCGCGCCTGTCAAAGAGAAAGAGCTGTCGGGCTACCAAACTCCCGGCAGCTCTTCTCAAGCTGCAGTTCCATGAGGAGCCTGGTGAACACCTAGAAACTGATTAGTAACTTAGTAGCCATCGGCGAAACGTCAATGTCAATCATGCAAAACAAGTCACCGGCCCGAAGTACGGTTCCTGCACTGTTTGTCTTTGGTAGCATGACTCCTGGCACCATCCCAGGATGCCCAGATCTGACCTTGGTCTTGTCATGTCGTTCTGCATTGCCCAACCCCGGGCTTCCACAAACAACATGCCCCGCTTGTCATCTAGCAAAACATCCGCACTCACTACTCTAATTCACCAACCTGAATGAAAGGGCGCCCCGAAGGACCCTCCTTGGTTAGGCTTTACCCCCAGCTTCCCTGTTCGCTGAGCGCGCGGCACTCGCGCTGCCCAACATCCCAGCGGCGCCCTTCACCGAGTCCTGAGTCGAAGGTTTGGACGGAGGCCGTTGACCGATGCTTTGCAAGAGGTGCTCGGATCCGCGTGTTTCAGCATGCGGGGAAGCCGCAACAAAGTGGAGACGCATCTGCCAGTAACGCGGGCCAACGCTGAACAAGAAATTCAATTCCAACAAATGCCTCCCGTGCAAAAAGCCCCCCCGAATTTCAAACTGCAATGTGGCCTGGCCCCAACATACCAGAGCCCGATGGTTAGAACCAAAAGTAAACAAGCACGTTGGCACGTTGGCTTGATCGGTATCAAATACTGCCTCCCGCGTTGCCGGCCACAGGTTTGGATACTTTACTTTTGAACAATCTCCCTGCCAGTTCCCGCAGCAACGTGGAAGGGAGGGTAAATCTTGAGACGTGCGGTCCTGAATTTGCACATGAGACAAGATGGTTACATCGTATCAAGTCCAGAAACGAGGCCACAGCAAAGCTCTCAGCTGTCGAGAGCAAGCTGCTCATGCTGCAAACCCCGTGGGGATTCCTGTGTTAGTCTTTGACCCCCTGCCGGGACGAAAACGCAGACGTATCATTACCCAACAAGCTTAAATGGCACATGGTACAAAGTAGACCAACCACGTAACCACAAATTCCAGTTTAGGGGCTTCCCTTGGGAACTGCGAATGGTGAGTTGCCGGGGTTGCCTTGGCTCCCTACTTCCACAGCTCAGCGAGGGTCTCAGGGATGGTCTCAGCCCCAAGGCACAGCCGAGCGACTGTGAGCGCCTCGCCCGCATCAGCAAGGCCCGCCTTAGCGACTCACAATGCTTTACGCTTGGCACGCCCCAGTTCAAGTATAGTTCCAACCTTGGCCCGAGCAAGCACCTGACTTTTGGTTCTACAACACCGAAAGTTGCCATGGTCCAAAGGCGCTTGACTTCAACTGCCCCCCCCCCTTTCCCCACCCGCGGGTGCCTTCACCTCCATCGCCTCCTTGCCCTCCTGAGCAAGAAAGGCCACAGCCGAGCTCGGCAGCCGTACGGGGTTGTGGTTTTGGGTGTGAATCTTTGGAGGGAACCCTTGGTTTGGTGGACATTATTTGGGTGGGGATTCATGCCCACCAACCACGTGAGATAGTGCCTCATCCAAATGCATAGCATATTTGTAGGGTCCCCCCTACTTTGACACATGTCCATGCCCTCCCTCTTGAGCCCCCTGTTAGGTGCCATGTGGCAAGAATGCTAAGCCCTCCCTGCTTCAGGCCAGTTGTATCGATTCAGAGCAGATATGGGTCATTAGTGGGCTCCTAAGCATCAAATGCACACTCCGAAAGATCAGTCCAAGGCAGGACCCTCAAACATGCATGCTCGCGATCCACAAAGAGGCGTGACGAACCAACTGCAACCTGTCCCAAGCCCAACGACTCGCTAAGCATGCCCGGCAAACACTCAACACTTGGTTCCTCTCAACGCCACCCAAAGCTGCAATGCACATGCATACCATACCACTGCAAAGCTTGCCTTGGGTTGATGTAATGCTTCCCCAATGCATTGTGAGCGGTGCACGGTGTCCCCCAAACACGTGAAGGGTCCCCTCTTACATGAGACTTCCCCCGTGATGATCAACCAGAATTGCATTGAACCCTGATGGGTTCTCACAAAATGTCTGCTCCCACAAAACTGGAAGCCACATATTGTAGTGATTTATGGGTTCCCAGGGTTCCCACTAAATTGGAGCTCCGCCTTCCCCTTGCTGCCTGGCGCAATGATTCCGCAAAGGCCCGGCCAGCGGGGCGGTGCTTCAGCTCAGCGGGCTGGATCTGCGGGCCGCATGGCAAGTAGAAGTAGGCCGCCCCCTTCTTCGAGAAATGATGGGCTATATAGAGCCTGCTGTTCTACCCAAGTTGCTTTTCCTTTGAACCCGCCACACTCACATGGGAAAGCAGTAGCCACTGCTAAAGGGCGCAAAGACAATGGGCACAAAGCATATACCAATGCTCAATACACGTAGGCAGGCCCTTAACTTCGGAAGTGCATGTAGGTATGGTGGGGGATGGGACAGGATGGAGTGGTATGAAAATGTATTGTATGTTGATGCAAAAGTAACAAAACTGTATGTAGGGTACATGGCCCAAAATCCAGCCCTATACAAGGCTTAAGCGGCGTATGTCCATTTGTGGTATGTCAGTTGGCTCTTACAGGTATGTAATGTAATGCACCGTAACGTAATATATGTAACGTAATGTATGCAACGCATGCGTTGTGTATGACATGTATGTCATGTGTGTGTGATGTGTAATTTGTAGTGTGTAATTGTGCAATATATACAATGTATGCAATGCAATGCAAACAATGCATGAAATGTAATGCGATGACAGCAGCGTGTAGTGTCATGTATGTATATACATGTATGTTGTGTATTCAAATGGTTTTGCGTGCATGTGTGCATGTGTGAATGCGTGCATGTGTGTGTGTGCATGTCCAATGTGTGCGTGTTGTGCGCTTGCGCGTGCGGTCGTGCGGTCGTGCGGTTGTCCGGTGATGCGGTTGTGCAGGTGTGTGGTCGTGCGTGCGTGCGTGCGGGCGGGCGGGGGCATGGCGCTTGGGCGTGCGGGCGTGGGGTGGGTGCGTGGGTGCGTGGGTGTGCGTGTGGGTGTGCGTGCGTGTGCGTGCGCGTGCGCGCGCGCGATGCGTCTGCGTGTGTGTGGTGTGTGTGTGTGTGTCTGTGTCTGTGTGTCTGTGTGTCTGTTTGTTTGTTTGTTTGTTTGTTTGTTTGTTTGTTTGTTTGTTTGTTTGTTTGTTTGTTTGTTTGTTTGTTTGTTTGTTTGTTTGTTTGTTGTGTTTGTTTGTTTGTTTGTTTGTTTTGTTTGTTTGTTTGTTTGTTTTGTTTGTTTGTTTGTTTGTTTGTTTGTTTGTTTGTTTGTTTGTTTGTTTGTTTGTTTGTTTTGTTTTGTTTGTTTGTTTGTTTGATTGTTTTTGTTTGGTTGTTTGTTTGTGTGTGTGTCTGTGTGTGTCTCTGCGTACGCATGCATGCGTGTATGAATGTAAGTATGCATGTATGTCATGTATGTATGAACAAATGCACGTACGTATGCATGTATGTAGGCATGCCATTTGTGTATACGCACCGAAGTCCTTCTACATATGATCTATCTGTGCGTCTGCTACTGGTGCACAGTTCTATCTGCAAACTTGTGGCGGTGCATTCAAGTGTTGTCTGCCAGCTTTGTCTCCTCCCCTATGCAAATGCTCACGCATTCACATATGAAAAGCGAGCGCGCGGGCTGGAAGCAATTGCCTTCTTAGGCTATCGTGTGTCCTTGCATGGGATGAGCTCCACTTCATCGAAAGTCGCAACGAGCTGTGTACACAAGTGAATGCACGCAGTTGCATTGCTCACCTTTCCTTCTTCCAGCGCAACCTTCACATTGCACACGCAAGAACGTCCGTGTTCATGCTGAGCTGAGCGATATGCAACGTGCACGTGTACACACGCACTTGAGCTCAAAAATGCACACATACACATAGGTGTCTGCGTCCATGTACCTATAAACCTAAAACAAAACCAGTTCAGACTTACTAAGGCATGCAAGCACATGTCCAGCCACATAACATGCACAGCCACCCTAAGCGATCACAAAAAGCTGAAGCACCTGCAGAATCCCGTCTGGGAACCCAAATCACCACACAGGCTGCAAGAAAGATAGCTGCATTGAAGATATGCATAGACCCCTTGCAGTGAGACCTGCTGGCACCCAACGCACAAATGTTGAAGCCCTACCTCACATGCAAATCATGGCGCAACGCACGCGCTTCGCTAGCCATTGCAGTGATTCCCGGCCCTGCGAATGGGGATTGCCTCGGCATGGGTGGAAGGTGACCTTCAAGACTTGAAATTCAGAAGGGGCCATGTCACTGTCCAAACAGATTGCCATCTGGAGAGAGAGTACCGCTTTAAGGTTGGCTTATGGAAAATTCAGGAATACCGCAATTTTGTGGGCCCCCAATTCCAGACACATAAGGGGAATCCCTGTGCATGGCCCCGAAACTGCAACCGATGGGTCCTTCCACAAAAGAGTCTAACCGCCCGGCGCTTCTTTGGGGTTGTTTCAAAGGAAAAGCAAAGGGACATTACACATCATTACACCTATTTTGGCCAACCAATTGAGTATTTAACAGGTCCAAACCCGCCCCGGTCAGAACTACTTGCCTCCCTAAGAGGAACTCGGAAAACGAGTGAGTCCCCCCATGTCCCTCCCAAATGAAGCCCCGCGCCTCGCCATGGATCAGGTTCAGCAGAAGTGTAGCCTGGCGAAACGCAGCTTCTAGACCTCTATTGCATACGTAAAAATAAGTTCTACTCAGATGTATGAACACATGTTCCTGAGAAAATGCAATAGTAATACAAACCAGAATGCTTGTGGAAAGAGTAAGTCTTGGAACTGCGAACATGTAGCTCTTAGGGCTCATCTGCTTTGACCTTTTGTAAGTGTATATGTATATATATATATGTGTATATATATGTCTGTTTGCGTATCTGTGTCGGATAGGCGTTGAAAATTCTGCTGCCTTCCGCCTAGTTGGCGCAATCCAACTAGATCATTCGTTCACTGAACCAGGCAGCAAAGGAAAGCCATTTGGGGCTGACCATTTTAAGTGGACAACTCACAAAAGAAAGCGGAACCGAGCGGTGCCAGTGAACATGCGCCCAAAAGGCCGTGACCGGACAAACTTTGGGAATGACCGCCCTAATGAAACCAGAACAACTGGCAAAGCCCCCTGGAGCTGAAGAGAAGCAGGCGGAAAGGAGGGCAATCCAACTCTAACCGCGCAAGAAGGATAAATGATAAGTTAGGTCTATTCAAATGCTTCAGCTTTGGGTTTTGGATTCCTGGAGGAAATGTTCACATCGGAAAATACCGTATTTTTGAAGCCGCATTTTTAGGATCCAGTACTACACAATTTAAACTCTGACGCGGGCCTCCAGGACCACCCCCAAACAAATGACGGCGCATTCGCCGAATTATATGACGCTTTATCTAATTTCCGGATGCACCCTCAATCCCACAGCGCGGCCACCTGCAACTACCTTCTCCCACAGACCACCTTTCCCCCAGAACCCCGTTTCGTCTGAGGTTTGACCTTTGGCCCCAACTTAATTGCGGCAAGGTGGCGTCAATTTTGTTCACCGACTTCTTGTTTTGGTCGGAGTAGTACAAGTTGCCGTCTTTGTCCACCGAAACCCATTCGCTGCTCACGTCCTCGCGAAAAAGGAGCAGTGGTCGAACTTGACGTCACAGCGGCGTGATTCTCGTTCCATGCCAATTGAGTAAAGGCGTATCCTCAAGGCACACTCACATTTTGCATTGGCATTGTTGAAACACGAGCTACCGCTCGCTCCAGGAAATGTATTTCTCACCCTGGCAGAACTAGCATTCTGCTTTGCTGCAGCTTTTCTTTCCCAAAAAATGCACTCCGTGTTGCCACAGAAGCAATGTTTGAGATCCATGCTGCCCTGGGCAGCGGCAAGTATGCCGTACACCGTATGTTCAATGATGCAGCATAGGGTCGTCCAATGATGCAATGCCCAGAGGCCTCCAACACTCCAACACCTGCGCATTCCATTCAAACAGAGTCTCACTGACCACTGTGACCTCATGGCCGGCGCGCAGAGTCCAAGGGAGGTCGCACCTCGCAGGGCACAGGCAGTTTGTGAATGTACGTTGTGGGCTGTCTTTGGCCATGGGTTGAGGAACGTGAAGTGGCCAGCAAGGAAGAAGAACAGCAAGTATTACTACTCCTGCTACTGCTACGACTATGCCTACCACCACTACAACTCCAACCTGATCTACGTCTGGCTCTACTTCTCCAACGTGGGGGAGTTGATGTGTAAATCAGCGTAAAGCAGCCCAAGCATTACGCAAGACTATGAGTGTCAAGCAGGCCGAAACAAGCTAAACACAGCTGCAGATTCGTATGCGTATGCTGGACATGCGCACCTGCATAAGCATACATTTTCAGGTTTACACATGCGTACACACTTGTTACGGCCAACTCTTTGGACCAAGGCAAATGTAGCAGTACCACTGCCGCACCTCACCTCAACGCCTGGGCCCCCGGACGCGGTAGGCCCCTCCGCCGCATCTGTGGTGAAAGGGTCGGTGACAGCGGCACCCAGCATGCCTGCCTGGGCTAAAACAGCGGTACCTTACATAGATACACGGGTTAGATCGATCAGATAGATGGATTATATATCAAAAACGTTGAATCGGTACGATGGATTATGCAATCTGCAGGTCGACCATCTTGGATAGACTAGACAGATTGGGTAGACTAGATAAGTTGAATAGACTACATAGATTGGGTAGTAAAAAAAGACAACCTAGATAGCAGAACCAGAATACTTAGACTATACCGAACAGATTGCATGGATAGAACTGATTCAACAAATAACACAAGTGCACATAATAAAAATGTAATAACTGTACTAGATAGAACACGTGGGACAAATGGAACACATAAAATAGATAGCATGGATGGAATATGTATACAAAACATAACGCAATAGAACAGAACAGAATGGAATCGAATGAAACACACAGTTAAATTGAAGAAACCTTATTAAACAAGCAACATGGATTCGACAAAGTGGAACAAAGCAGCAACGATTGGATGCATAAACTGGATCGGATTAGAATATATTACACGTTGCTGAATGGGCCCAATAAGTAGATTAGATCGATCAAATAGATAGGATAGATTAGGTTGGTTTACATTAGATCAGGTAGATTGGAAAGATTAGATGACTTAGATAGATTGGCTAGGGAAGGTAGGTTCTCTCTGCTGCAATGGGTGAAGTAGATTTTGTAGATAAGGTGGAGTAGATGAATAAGATAGATCAAACAGACTAGAGCGATTGGATAAATTGGATGCATGGATGGGTGGGTGGGTGGGTGGATGGATGGATGCCTGGATGCCTGGACGGATGATTCATGAGGACAGCTGGACGAATAGATGAGATACTCATAGCGGCATAAAGCAAACAAGAGGTACGCAATAACATTGTCCTGGTGGTTTCACAGGGTGACGAGGGAAACTTGCTGTGAACATCAAAGTCAAATTAGCTTCCGAGTTCTGAGACATCTTGCCTAAAGCCGTGTCAAGGTTTCAACCGACGATTCTGGCCCGAGCAAGAACCCAAGCCTAAGCAGCCGGTTGAAAGACATGCTGTGATACGCAACCTGCTTTCATAAGATTCTTCTGCCTTCTCCTCTGGGGTGAGGCAGCGCTCCAGGAAAAGCTTCCAGGCGCGAATCCTGACGCATACTCTGGCAGTCGACTAACTCAAGTCTCAGCCACATCAGCTCAAAAAAAAGATACAAGGACTGCCAGAATTGAACGAACCCCAGCCGACTGCACGAAACAAAGGCACCTACGAGCCCCCGGATCTGCTACGAAGAGGCGGCTGTGCTGCGCGTCCTGGGCTAAAGGCTCCGTTCAGAAAACGGGCCCCGGGCAGTGCACTCGCCCTTCCAAGGGCTAAGGGGTTGGCCATTTTCCTTACCAGGAAGGGACACGGGAAGATTGAAGAAATGAAACTCCAGGGGACACCCCATTACCCAAATCATTTTTAAGCAGGTGGGATGGCGAATTCACCGCCCGTTTGATTTTGATTTATGTGACGGTCATCGTTCCTCACTCCCTTTCTCAAGCTGGATTCATTTCTGGGCCCCCCTCCGTGTTTTGCAAAAGGCTGCAATCAAAGTTACAACCGCTGTGGTGCATCCAAAATAGGAGCCACAGATCACTCGGGAGGCCTTTGCGCCTTCCAAGTATGGGACCTATAGATTCAAGGGTTACCGGTTTGGGGCCCAAAAGGAAACAACAAACCGTCCAAGTGCGCTGCTCGCACATTTTCACGCTTGAACAGCCACACTGCGGATGCAACGGATGTAAAACCCCAAACTGACCGATCAAATTCTTCACCCCCCTCTGCGTGTTAAAGGGGCCTTTCACAAAGCAGCCAAACAGAAACACAACAGAGGGAGAAGGTCATGGGGAACCGTTGTATACATGCAAACCATGACAGTTGCGCTTTTAGCGCCACTGCCAAGTAGATTGGTAACCGCTGCTGTCATTCCATCCTCCCCAACCGGACCAGTTCTGCCAGCTGCCTTGGCTCCAATGCTCACCCTCGCGGGCGGCGGGAGCACTTTGATCGGCATAGCGAGCGGCATTGCGAGCGAGGTGCTTGGTGCTCTCGTTCTTTGAAAACTCAACTGAGTTTCGGGCATATCGCTCATTCTGGCTGAAAACCCAGTCCATCTCGTGGCGGAGGTCCTCCAACGTGTTGCTTCGAACATGGATGATGCCATTCCAACAACCAATGCTGCGAGGCTTGTCTTGCTCGAAGACCACGTTGATAAAAGCCCTTGGGCTGTAAGGCATCCCTTGGAACATAATGATCCAGCGAGAGGAAAGCGCATCTTGAAGTTCGCTGGGCAGGAACTCCAACTCCGTCTTGACATACGCGAGCCTTGCGATTCGCGACTCCGAAGTTGATCCGAGGCCAACTCCCAGAGTGCGCTGGGCTTGCGACTGCTTCGGAGCTGCTAAGACGAGATTTGCGCACAACTCCATGCGGAGCATGTCCGCCTCCCGACGGCCCACCTCAAGCATACGAACCCTGTATTGGAGGTCGAGTTCATAGCGATCAAGCAGAGAGTGGTAGCCGTTCTTCAGAGCGGACTTGTGCTTCTTCCGGGCTTCCTGAATAACAGCACTGTCCGGGGAGTTCAAACCACGAATGATGCTGCTACGATCCTCCTCGCGGAGGTCAAAAGTTCCCACGGATGCCAAAACCTGGGCTGTGACATGGGTGCTGAGGCCCATCTTCTTCAGCAAGTTGGAGCGCTGCACAATGTAATTCCTCTGCTGTTCTTTCAGCAGGCGAGGATTGAGGGGTGACAACTGCCCACATGATGTGCAGTGGACCTGCCCCTCGAACACACTGTTGTTGCAAACCGGGCACGTGGCGACATTCAGCTCAACGTTCTCCATTGGATTGAAAGTCTTCTGTCTCTTCGCTTCCCCTTGCGGGGCGCGAGGAGACGCCACATTGGTGCGGGTTGTAGCAATGCGCTCCAGTGCTGTGGACCGATCATCAACCACGGCTTGGTCGCGCTTCATCCCCTGGAGTTCATCCTCAGTCGCCTCAGCTGGTGCACCTGCATCCGATTGCTCGGAGCGAGTGTACCATACATCGCCATTTGTAGCGTCCAATACAGAAATAATCGTGTAGTTGGGCACCTTGTCGCGCGTGAGGACGCCATCGCTCTCTGTCTTGAAAAAGCAAAGCCCTGCGCGAATGGCCATCCTGAGGTCGATCTGTATTTCCAAGGGCTTGTTAGCGCGTACACCTGAGATGTAATTTTCGTTCGTGCTCGGAATGTCAGCGAAGAAAACGTGAGGTCTGCCTGTCTCGTGCTGGTCACCTCCTCCTGGAAGCAGTCCGTTTCGCATAATGTTGGCGAAGTTCCGCTTATCGGTGCGATGATAGAGCACCGTAGGAGGGTTGCTGCAGACGTTCCAGCCAGACCAGCGCCCGAGGTCCGTCCCCGGGTTCACGTACCACTCCTTCGCGATGCCGGAGTCGTCAATTTGGAGCCAGTCCTCATGGCCTTGGGAGGCCTTGATCTTGAAAATCCAATGAGAACAGGGGACGTCTCCGCACCGGCTTGCGTCCGGGCAACCAAGCGCAATGAACCTCTGCTTTTTGTCGAGCTTGAAGATGTCCATGATGCTTTGAATATTCCATGGAATGGGATGTCGCAGCTCCTTGCGAAGCGCGAGTCCCAAATCTTCAAGGTCCATGTAGCCGTCCTCATCCATCACGTACCCACATCCTTCTGTCCCTCGACCACGGAGGATCTTCGAGATGCACGTCAGGGAGCTGTGGTACTCATTGCTGATTCTCCTGACGGAAGGGTCGTAATCAAAAGAAGGCTGCTTGATGATCTCAAGTCGCTTGGGGCCCTCACCATAGTCAACATACTTCACGCCGTCATGGATGCTATAAACCCAGCAATCGTAGTGGCCCCCAGTCACGTTCCTCCCGTAGGAGTCGAGTGGTACCGGCCTGCTCGTCGCCTCGTCCCTCTGTGCCACCGCAGCCGCCTTTGCACCGGCTTGCGCCGGGCGAACACTTTCGGAAACATCAGCACCGGAAGGCTCACCTGAAGTTGCAAATTCGGCTGGATCGACAGGGGCGAAATCGAGGGGCTGCCGGAACTCCACTTCTTCACGGGTGAAAGGGAGCCCGATCATCTCTGACAATGAAACGCCGCACTTCGTTAGCGTTTCCTTGCAGTACGCGAGAACCTCAACGTTGACTGTGCAATCCTCTTGGTGGCGCACCTCGAGCACATCGATCGGACGCATTGTGCAATCATGCGAACGTGTCAGCTCGGCTACGCTGCCCATTGCGGGGCGCAAGATGGAAAGCATGTACAACATATGATGGGTTCCGCGCATAAACTGGACGGTCTTCGTGATATTGTCGTCGCTGAAGCACATATGATACCTGTCCAGCAAATCGATGGTCTCGACGAAGGGTGTAGCATCAACGTATACAAACATATTGTTGGGGTCGCCGATGATGTAATCCCGGACTTCCGTCATGAAACGGTCCCAAATCATAGAGAAGCCGTAGAGGTAGCTCTTCGCGCCGGTCATGACTCCAAGGCATGCGCAGCCCTTGCGGGCCGCGAAATCCCTGGTCCAAGCCAGGTGCCGCCTGGTGTCAGCGAGAAGTTGCTCGGCGTCTCCGATGGGGGTGTCGTAAGGATATGTACCAGTGGGCTCGAGGCCGTCCTTCCCAACGAGCTCGTTGCCATTCCAGTAAATCATCGGAATGATGGTGGCCGCTGGGTAGTCGGTACGCACCTCGTCGATGAGGGCGGCCAACCGCTTGCACAGCTGTTGTAAGCCCTTGCCCCAAAGCATTTCAGACCTCCATGCACCGACACGCGCCGGGCGAGAGGCATCCAAACGCTCCGCAAAGTCGTACTTGCGAAGCTTGCGCTTCTTGCCCGAAACCATGGACAGTCCTGAATCAGCGACAGTCACATAGATAAGGAGGTCGCGGTCTGGTACACGTGGGGCCTGCAAAACTTTCAAGTACGGTTCGCTTATGGTTAACAGGGGTGTAAGCAATTGCAGGTAGTGCGGTTGGTCCTGCACCCATGTATGAATAAGCGACTGTGCAGAGGTCGTCTCGAGGAGGCCCTTGACCGTGGCGGCGAGGTTAGCGTCGTATTTGCCGTTCGTGCATACCGAAGTGGTAGCGACATTCTCCATCCATCTCCTCCATGCCGGATCGCAATCCCTCGCGGGATGCGCCATAGCCGTCGCGCTGCTCATTGCGAAGAAGATGCAGCACAATCACTCGAAAGCAACGGCTGCATGGTGGCATGTTCAGAAAATGCATTGTGAACGGCATCGGTGTAAACATACGTGTATCCCTCGGCTTCCTTCAAATGCGTACCACGGCTTTCATCATGCTCGTGAGAACCATCACACTTGAAGTACTCAACCACGGAAATAGTGGGCATATTACTGGCAACGACCCACTGCTTTTTCATAGGTTTTCCATTTCTCCCTTTAATGCCGATTTTGCAACCATGGAATTCGTACTTGTTCATCTTGTACTTAGTCAAGAAACTCCATAGTTCGGGCCATTTCCAATAACGACACGCCTTGGGAAGTTCGAAGGCAACTCTAACGTCATCAGAATAGACATCGTTGAGAATGCGTTTGAACCCTCTCAGCAGTGATCGGAATTGCTTGATGTGACCCTCAATCTTGGCAGCACCTTTGGGAGTTTGCTGGTTGACATAACCCCACGGGCATCCTCCAGTGCAAGGCAATGAAACGTAGAACATTATTGCACCCTTAGGATTCTTGCTCCTAAATTCGGCAATTTCATGGACTAACCACTGCCTGCATGTATCAGAGCACCCGTCTTCGGTTTCAGTTACCCGAATGACACGACATCCCTTTGAAGAGTCTCTTGATTCGCCCAACCGTGAGGTCGTCGAACAACAGAACTCAATAAGGAGGCGCTTGGGCTGAGCGTTGCATAGCGCGGCGATCTGCCCCCCCTGATCACTAACTTCTCCGGCCTTGGCGCACGGGGAGAGCAGCAAACTGGTGGCACAGGCTCGCGCCTGGCGATTGGGGGAGATACCGATCAGCTCAAGTGCATGGTGCCACACTGGGGTGCTGTCAAACGCCTTGGTCAAGATGTCTGCAGCTTGGAGGGTAGTGTCAACATTGATTAACTCGAACTGCCTATTCACGAATTGCTCCTGGAGCCATCTGAAGCTAATGCGTTGGGTCCTATCCGTGTGCCTTAGCTTCTGTGAGTGTCCCTGCTGCAGGATAGTGATCGTGGCCTGATTGTCTTCCATCAGCTTAAC